TGGCCATCCAAAGCACGGTCGTGTCCATCATCAAACACGGCCGTGTTTGCACCAACACAATGGCCGTGTAATTAACCCTAGCCAAAGCACGGGCGGGCTGAGGCAAAGCACGGCCGTGCCCTCGACTGTGCTTTGGCAACTGATGCCCTTTTAAGCAGATTTTAGCCAAAACAGAAGGGGATTCGAGTTTTAGAGAGACAGAGCGATTCCTAGAGAGAGAAAGCAACGAACAAGAGTCTCCAAGTGCCCTAGCTTGATCTTCATCACCATTGGAGGCCAGTTTGAGCTTGGAGAAGTGCCGATCAACGTCCAGGAGCAGGAATCCATCCTTCACAGTATGAATTCCGTGTCTGATTCTGCTTTTGTTTCTTTCTCCATGGAGTAGTTCTCCCATTCATCTGGGTATGGAGAACCCTAGATTTGTATGTTAGGTTTGATTGTATGAACCCAAGTACTGATTCTATGATTTGATTATATTCGATTGAGGTTTGAATGATTGAATGACTTGAATCCTGATCAAAATCATGTTGTTTCTGCTTGAACCTAGAATGAGAATATCTGCCTAGGTTGATAGAGCATCCTTGATTGAAGGTAGGGAGTTGGTGACTTTAGTCGAGGAGCCAACTCACTATTCTGTACCGGATTCACTTCGGTAGTGGAGGTTTTGTTCATAGGGCCTCAATCTGTTTACTCCGGTGGAGGTTAGTCGCCCGCTAGAGACTCAGATTGAGAGGGTCTGAAGACCTTTAGTCGAGACTTCAGGCTGTTTAAGAACCTTCGGCAGTATAACGATCATAGAAACTGAACTTGGTAATTACAATCCGGCTTAACTGCAGTCTAGGGGGAACCATATCCGGGTGACCTCTCTTAACCTGAATACAACTGTTTACTTGCTTTGTTAGTTTGTTAGTTTAGACTTGCATTAAAGTTTCATTGCTAGATAACAAGAATTCACTGAGTAATCATCAAATCTAGGACTCGGGTTGACATTTAAACCCAAACCCGCTATACTACGCTTTAGGAAGTGGTTCCACTTGGCCAATTCCTGGAGTGACAGTAGAAGTGAGTCAGAACCCTATCGATTTCACAACTCCTTTCACCCTTAATCCTCATCACCTCTCACCTTAATCCACCACACATCATAACTAGAAAAGATATAACAAAATAAAGCCAACATTAGTTATCTATGATTCTGTGGTTAATTGTTATAGAACCAGTGGTTAAAATAGTGAACCGGTAGACTAGTAAGACCAAAGTTGTTCTACAGGTTTCATATCTAATTGTTAAAACCCAAACCTTGCAAGCAAGAGAACCAAAAAACTATTGTAACTTGTTTGAGGGAGTGGTATCTGGTGCTTGAAATGTTAAGCTGTTGATAAGAGTGGGAAGCAGATTAGGGATAGGAGAATTTATTCTTATTTTGTGTACACATGTTGGGGAGGAGATAGAGTGCTAACACTCTTAAAACCAACTCCAAGCATGACTCCTATTTAACACACTCCCTACTAAATACCCACTTTTCCATCCTCATTTTGCATTTTTTTCCAACCATACCACTCTCAAATCTATTACCCTCATATTTTTATTTTGATTTGTGTAATATAAAATGTCCTAGCCAGTTGTATTTGAACCTGGTCAAGTCCTCCTCACCAGTTAATGGTGGCACCCTATATGTGAGCACTAGCATTTAAAGGATGCCATCACGGTGAAGAGACGAAATGGATTGAAAGTACGAGTATGCACATATTTTGCATCGAATTTTTCCTGACCCCACTTGTCGAGTGTGAGTGATTCCTTTTTCCATTTTTTTATAAACCGGCGAGGATCTAGATGGCTCGGTCTCTATTATGATGACTTGATTTATATTCATTGGTGACAGGTTTGAATGAGTGGTTGAGTAGAGTCTATCTTGGTTGATGAAGAGAGGGGGGGATTTTCCTAATCCAGCTACACTCGAATGTCACCATGCACAAAATACGTGAATCGTACTAGCTACTAGACATCAACGCATGAACAACAACAACAACAACATCGACCTTGAAAACCGCCATGTATCTGGCTTGGTTTGCTTGGGGACAAACAAACTGTTAAGCGTGAGGAATTCGGTAGCACTGAATTTTATTTGCACACGTTATTTCCTCTGTCTCTTGATCGTTCAAGCTTGCTTCATCACTCCTGTAACCTATTTTATGTTAGGTTGTGCTACTTTATGACATTTAAGGTCTAGGATCGTGCACGTGAGCCTAAGAGAGAGTTTGGGGATGATTTTACGAAGTTCGAAACTTGGGACCAAAGCACCGGAGGTTTACACGGCTTCAACCCGTAGTTTACATAGTCGTGAGCGGTGACCGTGCAACAGGGGAAACGTGGCCAGAAATGTACACATCGTAGCGAGGCACCCAGGCTGTGTGGGTTTCCCAAGGATTTTACACAACATGAGCTGATGTTCACACGGTTGTGCAATGACCATGTTCTATCCCCTATCAACGTTTAATGAAACGACGTGTTTTCGAATTACACGATCTTGTGGTTGCCCGTGTAATCTTCTTGATACTGGTACAAGACTGAAATTTGGGTTTCTGAAGGGGCATCCAACTTTGGGAAGCAAAAACAGAGGTTTAGAGAGAGTTTGTGATAAAGAGTGATCTTTTTGAGATCTAGATCGATCCTTTCCACCATTGGAGTTTGATTCAAGACTTCAGGAGTGAAGATTGACATCTCAGAGTATATATGTATAGAGTAAACCTCCTTTTCACTTAGGTTTTGAAGAACCCTAGTTCCATGTGTTAGGATCTTTATTGTATGAACCTTTCGATGTTATACTGATTGGTTTTATTCTATTGGGGCATGATTATTGAGTATATTGAGTCTTGATCACATTCTTTTGATTTCTACTTTAACCTAGGAGAGTTAGAATCTGATTGGGTTAAGATAGCTTCTTGGATTGGAAGTACTCAATTGATTAGTCGCCGACCAGGTACTTTGCTTAAGAGGGCTTGGTCGTCTTATGAGATTTACAAGCTATTATGGGATCCTCCATAGTATAATGATCAGTAAAACAACTTAAGGCGATTACAACTTAGATCTAATTGAGGGGCTAGGAGGTATCATACCTAAGTGAGTTCCCAACTTGTAATTAGTGGTCTAACCTAGTTTAGTTTGTAGTGTAGTTTAGTTAATCAACCCATAATCTTATTTGCTAGATAATAAACTAAAGCTGAGTAATAGTACTCTAGGGACCCGTATACTGAAGTTAGAGCTACAAATGAGTCGAGCTGTTCGCGAGTGACTTAACGTTCGATTAGGGAAAAACTCATTCAAAACCCGACTGTTTACTAATGATTTGAGCTTGAGCTAAGCCTTCTGCAGCTCGCGAGCTAGCTCGACTAGGTGGCTTGTTGAGCTCAACACGTGAGCTTGCTCGTTTAGAGCTCATGAGATATCTCAACTCTCAACATTGTGGCTAGAGAGCCAACTCGATTATCGACTTATGAGTAAATTGATATATATATATATATATATGAGTTTGATTTTGATAATTCATATGATTGTTAAATTATATATCTCACCCTATAAAATAACATTATTTGATTAGTTAAAATTTATTAACTAAATAATATGTAACACAAAGTATAACATTAGATTAGTTAATATTGAGCACTTAATTATTATTTTTTTATCTTGACATTAATCACATGTATCATACATGACATACAAAATGAATGTATCAAATACGAGTAAAGATTTTCATAAGCAAGGTAGCTCGAACTCATCTCGGCTAGTTATTAAACGAACCAAACTCGAGCTCAACTCGTTTATTATCCAGCCGATCCATCTCAACTGGGACATTGGCTCTACTCGACTCATTTGCAGACCTAACTGTAGTTCTTTTCATTTATTACACTTGTAAATTGTTAGTAATTGTATTTTAGCAAATAATTAATATATTCAGTTCTATACCATATTATCTTTTAGGTTAGAATGCAGACTTTATCAACCATTAATCAACAAGACTGTAACAATTAACCACCAACTTTCACGATTTATCATCGGATCCTACTTTTTGCCAGCACACCATTTGGTCTTAGCTAGCTAGCAAGTCTTCTCTCATCCGACTAATAATTAATTCAACAATCAAAATGCTTTCACCCCCGACAAAGATTTCCTTTTTAGTTTTTTTAAAGGCCGAGATAAAGACTTCATGGTGGGATGGGATTAGGTGCTAACCCTTATAGGGGTTAGCACCGTGATAACTAGCAAAAATCACTACGAATTATTATAAAATCAATACAACATCTAAGCTAAATCACTACTAATTCAAACTAGTAGTACTTTTTCCCTTGGTTAGAACGGTGCTAACTATTGTACAATTAGCACCGTAGCCGTTCCCGACTTCATGACTCGAGGTTGTCAACCCGCGGGTCGATCCGCGGGTTGACCCACTTTGACCCTGACCCGGTGAGAAAAACGGGCCGCACGCACCCGTCGGGTCGACCGCCACAATGTACCGGGTTGGAGGTCAAATTGTGTCATTTTTTTCTTTGTTTTGCGAAATGCGTCTATTTTCCGATTTTTCTTTTCGCCTAACTCAATCTTTGGAATCCTAAGTTGAACATTTGAATATTAATGTTATATAAGTGTGTGTGAATTTTCAGTATATGTTAAATCTAAGTACGAAATGTTATTTTGGTGTAATATTATATGTTATAACTCATATGTTAGATGAGATTTGATATAATTTATTAGGATAAGTACAATATAATAACGCTTTCCATATTTTCGAGCTAAACCGTGCTAAAATGGGTGATCCATTAACCCTTGACCCACTAGGTCAACCGGGTCCGGGTCAACCCGCGGGTTGACAACCTTTGCTTCCTTCGTGTGCTCAACTTGGACCCTTTTAATATCTTCTGGAATTGAAGTAAACTCTGATTAATTCCCAAATCAACTTGCTGCCGCTCCGAATACTTGGACTTAATTATAACTCTTTGTTTTGGAATTTGCACCCATACGCTTTATCATATCATGTTGTATGGATCTCTCAACCAAATAACAGACTGCCAAAATGGACTAGCATCAATTCAGAGGTGTGGAGTGGAGGCATGCAAATTTGACTTAATTAATTATTCCTACAATATTAATTAGCCAACGAGTAGTATTAATTTGGGATGACTATTTCTTTCTAATTCGTGTGATTTTATGGTAGCATTCTTATATGCAGTGCTGTCAAAGCCGAACCGAGCCGGCCGGCTGGACCGCCAAAGCCGCCATCCGGCCGCAAAACCGGCTCGGATCAGCTATTTAGCCGCCACGGTTTAATACGGCGGCTGGCGAGCGGCCGAAGCGGTTAACCGCTCGAGCCGGTCGCTCGGTTCGGCCGTTTAATTAACCCTAAAAAAAAATTAGAATTGGTCAGCCGCCAGCCAAACAAAACTGAAAACCCTACCTTTCCTTTTCTTTCTCCAGTTCTTCGACCTGAACAAACGAAAGGATAGAGGGAGAGCGGCGCCGTCAACCATCGCCAGCGCTTCCGTCCCGTCGGCGCAAGCAGCTCGCCGCCGCAAGCAGATCGCCCTCGCCAGTCGCCCTCGCAAGCAGCAATCGCCGTGAAGACTGCCCTGCTCACCGCCGCAAAGAACGGCCGACTCACCTCCTGCTCGAGGTAAGTTTCCCATAAAAAACTGCCCTGCTCGAATGGATTAATGCTTATGTGGCTCAACCAGTAAAAAGAGAAAGAGATATCAGATATCAAAGCTGTAATTAGTTTGCAAAATCCAATTCGAAGAAAAACTGAAGAGATCGAGAAAGGAATTCAAAGAAAAACTTTCTCAAAGCTGTAATTAGTTTGCAAAATCCAGCAAAGAGGTATCAGAATGAACTGAAATGAAGAAAAAAAATTAACAAACAAAGCCAAAAAGAAGAGGAAACAATTTCCTAGAATGGAACACTGTGGTGGTTTGGAATTGAATTTTAGATCTTTCAGTACTGATGTTCTATAATGGTTTAAGAGAGTAATTTACTTGTGGTTTACCATGATTAAGAAGTGTCTACTATTACAGATGACTGTTTATTAGTTACCGGTTCTCAAACGGTTTTTAAACGGTCTAATGTCGGCTGGACCGCTAATGACCAAGCCGTTCACGTTACCGGGTCATACTCCGGCTCGGCTTTGACAGCATTGCTTATATGAGTATGTATTACTTGCTTCTCAGAAGTATGAGACGAGATATATGTATTACTTCTATCATATTTTTTCTGCGTCATTATACTTTACTTTTGGGTAGTTGTATCTTTTATTGATTTGTTTACCAGAATTGGGTTGTTCTATCTCAACTCAACCTAATGCATGTTATTTTAAAGTCTTTATAAACTAATTATTAATATATGCACAATTTAGTGAAAATTTCCACCTTTCAAACAATATGAGTTTATTAACAACTACTCCATAGTCGATACATATTTCCTACTGAATTAATCCACTCACCAACACTCTATAAATACATAATTGTTCCTTCCCTCTAATCACATTCTTGAATACATACCAAAAACCTAAACATCCACAAGGAGAGAGAGAGAAAAAAAAAAAAAACATGGCCACGGCGCCTAGTCCAGCATTAACGTTCAAAAAAAAAAAAAAAAAGCCTAGTCCAGCATTACTAGTAGTGCTATCACTACTACTCCACAACTTCCCCTCATCTCTCTCCGCCGTCTCCCCCACCGCCCAACCTCTCCCGGCCGACGAAGTCCAGCACTCCCCGGCCCCCGTCCTGCCCATCCCGATCCTGGACACAGAAGGAAAACCCGTCAAAGCCGGGGGCAGCTACTACATCATCCCGGCCGCCGCCAACAACACCACCACGCACGCCGGCGGTGTAGGAACCGCCAGCCAATCAGCCGCCTCCACGTGCCCACTCTCCGTGATCCAGGACCGCCACGCGGACTCCAACGGCTCCCGGCTCTCGTTCCTCCCCGCGGCGGCAAAGCTCGGCTACATCCTCCGCACCTCCACGGACCTCAACATCCAGTTCGCGGCGACGAGGTGTGAAGAAGGCGGCGTCTGGAAGGTGGAGGAGTACGACGACGATGACGTGGAGCGGTGGTTCGTGGGGACCGGCGGGGTGGAAGGGAAGGTGGAGGACTGGTTTAGGATCGTGAAGTATGGAGTCGGCGGCGGGAGTAATTACAAGTTGGTGCATTGTCCGGGAGTGTGCAAGTCTTGCAAGGTGAGGTGTAACGACGTTGGGGTTTTTGTCGACGAGAATGGGGTCAGGAGGCTTGCTCTCACCGAAGACCTGCCTTTTGTGGTTAGGTTCATGAGGGTTGATAATTAGGGGGAGAAAACACTATATATTGGATGAAGTTGATTGATCGAGTTGGTCATGATCTATTGTTGGAAGAGTGTTTCTTTCTCTATCTTGAGATTGTTGTACTAATTTCGAGCATCAATAAATTAGAAAAAGAAGGATAATAAATACACATAAATACCTGTTTTAACATTTTTATAGTGAGTTGAAACTCCATGAATTCCCATAAAAAAAAAAAAAAGAAACTCCATGAATTGATGTTGGTCATGATAGATTTGATGGTAACTAGGCTAAATTCCCGTACAATAATAAAGTAATGGTATATATATATATTTTTTTTTTTTTTTTTTTTTTGCATAACAAGGAGGCCTAAAGCCAAGAAGAAGAAACAGTTACAGAGGGAGAGGATCAAGAGTAAGAGGGAGGGGAGTTTGCCACAATCCGGCGCTCAAACGTAACCCCCAACATATCGTCTCGAATAAGCTGTACAACACCCGGAGGTGGATCAGCCAACTCCTACATCCCGTAGGGCTAGACGAGACTGTGCTTCTAGAGCCAGTCCACAACTCTATTCCCTTCTCGGTATGTATGAGACAGGCTAACCAACCAATCCTGACTAAAATTCCTACGGATGAGGCTCAACAAAGTGGCATAAGGATGGATGGGGTCGTGTCAATCCTGAATGAGCTGAATTGCTAACTGAGAATCCGAAACGATCTTCACAACTCGGTACCCGAGTTTCCAAGTAAACTCTAATCCGTGAAAAATTGCCCAAAGCTCCGCCAAAGTTGTCGTTGCTGTACCGATGTTGACGACGAAACCACCTAACCAATTGCCCAGCGGGTCTCTGACCACGCCCCCAGCTCCGGCCGGCCCCGGGTTACCGTTTGACGCCCCGTCCGTATTCACCATTACCCATCCCTGAGTTGGCGGTATCCACCCAATGTCCGCCACCACCCGCTCTGCACGTCGTTTCTTGTGATTTGGAAACAAATCCGGCGCATTCCAAGAGTCAGTCCACAATTTGCTCTTACTGATAATTGAATGCGTGAGAGACGGAGCAGATAAAGCTTTACCAACACCCTTAAATGACGCAGTGGTACGGTTCTTCCACAAGAGCCAAATGGCGATGCTGAAGAAGCATGGCCAGCTGATTCCCAACACAGTGGAGCCCTTGCTCAACATATTTCTGCGGAACCATTCCTTGTGATTCCAACTGAAAAAGTCATTCAGCTACTGCTGCGGAACATTTCTTTCCCAAAGGTACATAACTGGGGCGCAGTCGCGAAGGATGTGATAGACTGTCTCCGGTTAACCAGTACACCACATGCAACAAGGCGAGTCGGCCACTTTCCTCTTATGTTGAAGGGAGTTTGTAGCAATTTTCCCCTGAAATGACAACCAAACAAAGCCTCTGACCCTCTCAGGAACCAAGAGTTGCCAAATCACCTTCCAAATACCATCGCTAGACTGCTGATCAACTTGGTTAGTTAGAAGATCATAGGCTAATTTGGTGGAGAACCGACCATCAGTCGTCCCGGTCCAGAAAAGCGAGTCCTCTTCAGGGGAGATAGCGTCCACCGCCATGCTCGTGATCCTGTTGCAAATATCCGGGGGAAGAAGCCCATCGAACATCTCTGTGCTCCAGGTGCCATCCTCTCAAACAAAAGCAGCCACCGCCACCTCCTCCAACGCTTCCGGAATATCTCCAAGTGCCCTCTCCTTAAGGGGTAATTGAAGGTCATGTAGGTGGTCTAGAAACCTTTTGGCCAGTCACCCCATTTGATTGTGAAGCGTACCATTTATAGTGGTATGCTGACATATCATAGCTATACGATGCCTCTAGACGTCTCTGGTCCGACAATTCGAGTACAAGAAGGGGAAAGTGCCTCTAGACCTCTCATAGTCTCTGCTGTATCGGACTAGTGCACATCTTGACTGCTACTTTAGTCCGATACAGAAGAGACTATGAGAGGTAATTGTAAGTAGGTTACGGATCTTGTAATTGTGGAAAAAATGACTTTATTGTATTAATGTGTAAGTTTAACAGCTACAAATATATTCAAATACAATGAGAGATTGTAGCAAGATAAAGCTACACACGTTCCATAGAATCATGAACAGAAACATAGTGGGGGAAAATAAAATAATTTTTTTATTTACTATCTCTAATACGGCCATACAACACGAAGGATGTATCAATGACTCCGATCTTGGATAGAAGAAGAAGGTAAGGAGTGGAAGGCTAAGGTTTGGTGAGAGCATTGGCTAATTGATGTGTCGTGGGGATGTAGGACAAACGGAAACGACCAGCCTGTACCAATTCATGAACAAAGTGATAGTCCAAGGCAAGATGCTTCATGCGAGAATGGAAAACGGGGTTAGAGTTGAAGTAGGTGACACCAAGATTGTCAGAATACAGAGTCCGGGAAGAGTGCAAAGGCTGGTGAAGCTCAAGTAGTGAATTCTGTACCCATTCCAACTCGGCACTAGCATGGGCTATGACAAGATATTCGGCCTCAGTACTGGAACGAGCCACTGTGCGTTGTTTTTTAGAACGCCAAGAAATGAGAGCAGAGCCAAGGTAGATGAGATAACCAGAAGTAGAAGAGCGATCAGTCATATTCCCAGCCTAGTCGGAATCAGCAAAGCCTGAGAGAGAGACCGAACTGGTGGAACGACGAATGGAGAGACCAAAGGTCCGGGTAGCAGAGACATAACGAAGAAGCCTCTTGATGCACTACCAATGATAAGTGTAGGGCGCGTGCATATACTGAGAGAGCTTATTAACAGAAAAGGCAATGTCCGGACGAGTTTAGACCAAATACTGAAGGACTCCAAGGGCCTGGCGATAGCAAGTAGTGTCAGTCGGCGAGAGTAAGAGAAGTGGAGGCATCCATGGGAGTGTCAACAGCCTTGGCATCACTCATGAGAAAGTGATGTAAAACATTGACCATGTACATATGTTAAGAGAGAATGTAGCTAGAAGCAGTGTGAATTATCTCGATACCCAAGAAATAATTGACATCGCCTAGGGCCTAGAGGGAAAAAACGATTGGAGAGATCTTGCTGAAAGGCCTGGTGAGTTGTCTTGTCGTTCCCCGAGGAGTAGATCATCGACATACACCAAAAAATAGAAAATAGTGTGCCCTCAAGAATCCTCAAGAATAAACAAAGAGGGTGGCATGGGAATGAATCTTGGTGAAGCAAAACTCAAGAAGAAACGTGCTCAAAGTAGTGTACCAAGCACGCGAAGCCTGGCGAAGACCATAGATAGCACGGCGAAGACGACACACAAGATTAAGCTTGGAGGAATCAACAAAACCCGGAGGTTGTTCCATAAAGACTTCGTCCTGCAAAAAAAAAGGCCCTGGAGGAGGACATTATTCACATCAAACTAAGAAATACATCAGCCTTGACAGAGAGCCAGAATGAACACAATGCGAACAGTGACCAGTTTAACCATTGGGCTGAAGGTATCAGTGAATTCGAGTCCTGGACACTGATGAAACCCCTTGGCCACCACCAGGATTTTATAATGCTCGATAGAGCCGTCAGAATCATGCTTGACACGACAAACCCACCGATTTCCAAGAACATTGTAGTGAGGAAGACGGGGAACCAAATCCCAAGTGGAATTGGCCAAAAGAGTACCATTTTCCGCAGAGAGAGCCGCCGGCCATTCCAGATAAGAAAGAGCTTCCTGCACTGTAAGAGGGAAAAGAGAAGGGGGCCCAGCTGCAATGTGAGTGTGAAATAATCGTTTCTTAAGCTGGAAAATACCATGTTCTTGGGCCAGGGGAGGTGGGAGGCCCATATGGTGGAGTAGAGGGGGACGTGGGCCCAGATGGCGAGGGATCCGGTAGGGGGAGCGCAGTCGTGGTAGGGGATTGGGCCGGTGGAAGCCCAATTGACGATGACGGAGATGTTAACGGCCTGGTACGGTGGATATTGTGGGAGAAAAATCCCAGATCCAAGAGGCGGGTAATAGAGGCTCGACAGGAGAAGAGGAAGAGTAACCTAGAAATTGATCCTCAACAAAAATAACATGTCTTTAAAGAAAGAGACGCTGGGTGGTGGGGTTGAAACAACGATAAGCACTATATTGAGGAAAAAATCCAAGAAAGATACATGGACGAGAACGAGGGTCTAGTTTGTGAGAGGAATATGGACATAGCCAAGGATAACAAAGACAACCAAAAACACGGAGTTTATGATAATTGGGAGGCAAATTGAACAAGAGATTGTATGAAATCTTACCACGCTGTAGAAAATTCAAAGGACCAAAAAGAAGTTGAGCATAATGCAGAAGAGTGATACCAGTTTCAACAAGATGACAATGCTTTCTTTCAGCAAGCCCATTTTCTTCAGGGGTATGAGGTGGAGTTTAAAGATGAGTTATGTCATTTTTAAGAAGATCCAAACACAGTTTTTGAAATTCTCCACCACCATCCGTGTACAGACGACGAATAGTAGTAGAAAAGTAATTTTCAACCATTATCCTAAAGTCAAAAAAACTTGAAGAACATCATATTTATTACGTAAAGGATAATACCAAGTGTATCGGGGGAAATGATCAATAATTACCAAATAATAGTGATAACCATCAATGGAGGAAACAGGGGCAGGACCCCAAACATCTGTTTACATAAGATCAAAAGGTCTAATGATGGATAAAGATGAAACGAAAAAAGGCAATCTGTGGCTTTTATTTGAGAGACAAGCATCACAAGAAAAACTAGCTACGGAAGATGAAACTAGAAGAGAATATGACCGAATTAGAATGGTAAGAGACTGATGAAAAGTATGACCAAGCCTAGCCTTCCAGGAAGGAGCGGACGTGCGAGTTGTCACCAGAGCCATTCTAACATTATCCACATTGTGAGGTAATTCGTAGACATTACCGGTGTTTTCCCCCTTCACCGGTGCGCCCCCGTGCAAAGATCCTTCACAATAAATGAGTGGCGAAAAATTTCAACGACATAGGATTAGTTTGACATAATTTTGCGACGGAGATAAGATGCTTCTTGATAGTAGAAATGCATACGTCTCGCAAATTAAAATGAGCGAAACCAAGAGAAATATTAGGAGAGCCAATATGAGTTATTGCCGAGCCTGAACCATCACCCACTAGAATTTTATTAGGGACGTATAATCAGAATAGAGAGACAATTGGCCCAAATCAGGAGTCGCATGATGAGTTGCAGCAGTGTCCATAAGCCACGGTCCAAGAGAATTATTTGAGCCCATATGAGTGTGAGTAGACGTTTGCCATTTTGGAACGGAGGTCTTGCGGCTACTGCGTTCGCGAGGCTGGCGGGCTTGAGTGAAGGCTTGGCAGGCATGAGAAAATAGTCTAAAGCATTAGCGAACTGAATGACCGTATTTCTCACAGTATTGACAGATGACAGGCCTGTGCTGACGATTGGGCTCGGAGCAATTAAATGGCCCGGTTGGAGAAGCAGATCTGTGGGCCGGCAAATCAAATGGCTCAGTTGGGGAGGCTGATCTGTGGGCCGGCTGAATAGGGTTATTATCCAACCCCTGCTGTTGCGTGCGATGTTGAGGTCGAATTTGAGAAGCGTTGCCGTCGTTGCCATTGAAGACAGAGCCACCGCCACCACCGCGGTGAGAGTTCCCTTGTGAATAAAAGGCGGTAGGGACAGAGGTGACCCGATCCAAGTCCTTTAGATCAACTTCATACTCAAAAAGGGAGTCAAGGATATCTTCAAGCTTGACGGTGGTTCCCCTGGCGCGAACGGTGGTGGTGAACTGATTGTAATCAGCACCGAGACCTCAAAGACAATGGACCACGAGATCCAAATCAGACACCAGGTGATCAATAAGAGCGAGTTTTGTGGCTGTCAGCTTTAAATCATTAAAGTAGGTGAGAACATCACGATCTCCCTTGTGAGTTTTGGCCAGCTTGCCTTTCAGATGAATGATTCGAGACCAAGAACGACCAGCATATAATTCTTCTAAAATTGACCAAGCTTCTCTAGAAGTGACAGCAGCATAAACAAAGGAATATAGTGATTGAGAGATGGAGCAATACATAGCATGAAGGATGACTTATCTTGCCAAAACCAATGGCGATATGCAAGATTGGGGTTGCTGACGTTGTTGGTTGTGATTGTTTGTGCCGGAGAAACGCCATTACCATCGATGAGGCCGATGAGATCCATGCCCATAAGAAGAGTCTGCAGTTGCGAACGCCATGAGTTAAAGTTTGTGGGAGTTAATTTCAAAGGCAGATGCACTGCTGGATAAAAGGTGATGATGGACTCCTCTGAGGTTGCTGAGTTATCGGACGTGGTTGAACCATACATGGCGAAGAAAAAATAAAAGAATAGGAAATTTAAAAATAGAGGAAAGAAAAGATGAACAGAAGATGTTTAGATCTGGATCGACAAGGTGAACGTTTCTTACTCTAATACCATGTAAGCAGGTTACGATCTTGTAATCATGGAAAACTGACTTGATTATATGAATGTGTAACAACTACAGATATATACAACTCACTTCCCAATTAGATTTAGTCTCCCACTTGACTACTCTCCCCACTCCCTAATGATACCCAAGTCTCAATCTTTATTTGAAAAATATTGTCCCTTCTTCACTCATAAATTACATTGGGCAAGTTTAATCTAGAGATCAACCAAAAGTTCAACACTCTTGCTCGACCAGAAAACAAAGACAAAACAGGGAAGGTCACTGCCAGAATCCAGCGGGAAATCCAGAGTTACTAGACCGAATTGCGGAGCTTGAACGACGTCTCGCCATAAGTGAACCCATTTAAGAGCATCTGCACCGCGATCGACGCGAACAACAACATGAATCAGAGGCAGTCCCCCCGTGAATCAAGCTGGTAGTGACGCCGTTTTAGGGGACGATAAATCCTTCAACGTACCTCGAGTGGGAAAGGAAGATCGTGCTCTTTTTCAAGTGTGGCCAATTTAGTGAGCCCCGGAAAGTAGTAATGGCTACTTATGAATTCTCCAAGTATGCCACACAATGGTGGGAGCAGCTTCAACTTCGCCGACGGCAAAATCTCCAGAATCTGGTAGCTACATGGGAAGAACTGCGCGGATTAATGAAAGACATGTTTCTTCCTTCCTATTACCAGCGTGAACTCTATGAATCACTGGAAGGAATTTGCCGGGGATAAAGGGGTATGGAGGAATACTTTAGAGAATTTGAATTGTTAATGATGCATGCCGGCGTTAGGGAAGACCGACAAGCAACGATCGCTCGTTTTTTCCACAGTTTGAATCGCGAGGTTCGATAGGAAGTGGATCTTAGATCGTTTGTCAATTTAGAGGAAGCCCTTCACCTTGTAGTTAAGGTCAAAAAGAAGCAAAAAATGTCAAAGAGATTTACTCTGGCCAACAAGTCCGCGATAGAGGCGAGTCTTGATTCCAACTTCCAGCAATCGCGACCCGACCCCGGCAAATTAAATCCCAGGAACGTCACTCCCGCCCCTACTGAACGCTCTAGAGGAATCCAGTGCTTTAAATGTCAAGGGAGAGGATACAAAGCCAATCAGTGTCTTAATTTGAAGACTCTGGTCATTAGAGATTGAGAATATGTCACCGATGACGAGAAGGATTCCAGTGACAGCGAAGTCGATGAGACTTTTGTTGTGGAAGCAAGTACTATGACTGGAAATATTTTCAGAATCAGTCGGCGGGCCCTAACCATAGACACTGTGTCGGTTTCCAATCAAAGGGAGAATCTGTTTCATTCTCGGTGCTTGATTGCCGGGAATTTGTTGTCGTTGATTGTTGATAGAGGCAGTTGTGCCAATGCTGTGAGCCAGGACATGGTAGAGAAGCTTGGATTGACTACGAATCGGCACCCTAAACCCTATAAATTACACTGGCTCGACGATTATGGCGCAGTCCAAGTGACGAGACAAGCCAAGGTTAGTTTTGAGAAACGGGTTCACAAAGAGGAGCTCGAATTTGGCGTCGCTCTAATGCAAGTTGCTCATTTGCTTCTTGGGAGGCCGTGGCAATTCGACCGTGGCATTTTTCAATATGGTGGAATGAATTGCTACAAAATTCGTCATGGCGACAAGAAGATTTTGTTGAAGCCTCTGTCACCGAAGGAAGTTCGAGAAGATCAACGTCAAATGGCGGCTAATCGTCGGCGATCCAAAGCAGTATCAAGTGGAAACCAGGCCTAGGATTCTAAGAATACCTATATTCTCACTCGGTGTTACATTTTTACTGGGAACAAGAAGGAAAGAAAGACTCATCGACGGCGGTCCTGCAAATCGTCGCCGGGATAGGGGAGGAGAGAGGATGATCTTGTAGGAGAGTTCGGGAAAGATTCGAACCCAACCAAAAGTACACGCACATTCCAAGAGTCGTCAGGAAGTTATTCCCTGGACCAGAATGGGTCAATTGTACCTATATTGTAGGATCCGATTCGTGCAGAATTTGCTCTGGAAACAGGTAAACTCGATGCAAAATCGAGTCTACTAATTAGAGCGCTTGAGAAAGATTCGACGCAGGCTGCTAGTGCGAAATCGACAGGGGAGGATGCCCGAAGCTGTAGAAAGTTTCAATTACACTCGTAGATATTTGAAATAGAAACGTCCAATTCCGATATTGAATTTCTAGGTTAAGCACATTTGAATGTCGACGATGGAGGGAAAGAAGAGATCGTCGATTCGACGATGGAGGCGATGAGTCGAGGAATGAGATCGGCCCAGAAACTTAATTTGAAGTAAGGTAAAGGCGATGGAGTCCACGAATTGAGCTTGAAAGTTGAGATGCATGAATTCAAAAGCCCCAAATTCGACCACGAAGAACATTGCCCTGGTTTCCAGAATTATAGGTTTGGGCAGCCATCTTTTGACCCAATTTGCGATCGATTTTTTGAAACATTTGAGTAGAAGAAGGCCAAAGCTTTTTGAATAAGGGGACTTGATACAATTCTAGAATCCATCATTTTCCATTCAGGATTGACGCCAAAGATGCCAAGTCAAATTGCAAGAAAGAACATAAAAATTGTGTTAAGTGTTTTTCACGTTTCAGGAAGCCGACTTTGCAAGCTTGGTCTTTCAATTGGCTCGATGAAAATGGGAGTTCAAGGGCTTGTTTTGAATCTGGAGGGTGCCTCTACAATTGGTATGCTTGGGAGCTCGAGAAGAAGTCTAAAAATCATTTTCAAAGCTCACCAAAAACCGATGTCAACACAGGAAAACTGCTAGAATTTGGCTAAGTATAAATCTGTGTTCATGAGGCCTACTTTGGAGCTCAATTTAAGAAGAATGGCTGAGAATCTAATTCCAAGCTTCATACCACATCCAAGTACAGGAAATATAATACAAAGGCAAGGCATTGGATAATTGGATGGATGATTGGAAGGTCTCGAATGAATGTCTCAAAGATCATCTAGAGACTGGATTTTTACTTGCTTCCCAAGCAAGTCTCCTTGTTCATTACGGATTCTATTTCCTTGTTTGTTTTGAGTTTTAACTCATATTTTTAATGACCTAAAACTCATTTAGACGTAGCTAGCATCTATTTAAGGTTATGTTTATGTTTGTAAAACTCTGATTATGCACAATTGAATACAAAGTGAGCATTGATTCATCTTGCTAGTTTGCTTGATAAATTGAGCATATTTCTTGGTGGATTGGTAGGAAATCAATAGATTGTATCATTCCGTTATTCCCACTGACCGTGTACAAACCTCTACCTAAAGATTTTGAGCATCTTTCCCTACGTGAAGGTTGCACGAAAACTTCCATCCCAAAACCCCAAAACTTACCCTGTTTTTGAAGAAACTCGAATTGAATCTAATTTAATTTGTGGTTGTGCTATTCTGATCATAAGAGATCCTATCTATGGCTTATCAAAGGTACTTTGTGAGGTTCGATCCGTACTATGATTCGTTCTGGAAGCTTGTGCACATCTGGACTAGTACTCTAGTCCGACACAACGGAGACTATGAGAGGTAATTGAGGGGTACATGGAGTGATGAAATGACATTTGGGTTAATGAATTTTTACATTTTTCATTATTTTTGTATAAATTATCAGGTGAGATTATTTGATAGAATACAAATTGAAAATAAAAAAGAACAATAAATCCTCTAACCAATCAAAGTACGACACTTATCACACATTTATGCTCCATATTTTGTCTCTTTAACATTACATAATTATTATATAAACTAGAGATGGAAAAGTATATCAGATCGTTAGAAAAAAAAATAATGGTCCACACCATATATACCACACAGTATGGTTCGGACCATATACTCTGCTACATCTTGTATTTTTGGCACACAAGACAAGTCTTCACAAACATCTCCATGTCGTCTCTCATACGCGGCCAGAAGTATGCTTCTTTGATGAGGGCTTGTACTATTTAGATGCCGGAATGACAAGCCCACTTGGAATCATGGAATTCATTCATTATCTATGTCCTCATGTTTGCCCACCTTGGCATGAATACACACTCTCCCTTGGTCATGATGAGTTCATCCTTCATCCTAAACCGTCGAGTCTTACCTTACTCGATGTACTCCTCTACGGCTTTGGCAAAGGGGTCATGGCCAAGGTCTTCAACGATTCGTTCCTTCAAAGAAAACTCTGGTTGGCTGATGCTTTCGGCTTAGAGCATCTGCAACGGATTTCTCCTTGCTTGGATTGTACTCCATCACGAAGTCGAACTCGGCCAAAAAGTCTTGCCATCTCGCTTGCTCTGGGGTGAGCTTCTTCTACGTGAGGAAGTAGTTCATCGTCATGTTGTTCGTCTTCACTATGAACTTTGAACCCAACAAGTAGTACCTCCATGTGCACAAGCAATGCATCACGATCATCATCTCCTTCTCTTTTACCGTGTATTGCCTCTCCATCACGTTGAGCTTCCGAATCACGAAGGCAATGGGATGCCCATCCTGCATCAAAACACTTCAAATTGCAAAGTCGTCGCATTGGTCTGCACTTCGTAGGTCAACATTGGGTTGGGGAGCACGAGCATGGGCTCCTTCATCACTGCTTCTTTGAAGGCCTCGAACACTTCTTGGCACCGTTCCATCCACGACCAAGCCATGTTCTTCTTCAAAAGATTCGTCAAGAGTGTTGTAATCTTGGAGTAGCACTTGATGAACCTTCGCTAGTAATTGGTAAGGCTGATGAATGACCGCAACTCAGGCACCTTTGTAGGCAACTCTCATTCTTGGATTGCCTCCACCTTCGCCCCATCCATCTTCAACTTGCCTCCGCCAATAATGTGCCCTAAGAAAGGAAAATCTGTGAGGGCAATAATGCACTTCTCCCTCTTCACATACGATTTGTTGTCGCGAAGGACTTAGAAGACTTGGTGTAGGTGCTTGGCATGCTCATTGAGTGTTTTACTATACACTACGATGCCATCCAAGTACACTATTGCAAATTTATCCAAGAACGGCTCGAACACTTTATTTATCAAAGTGAAAAACATGGTTGGTGCGTTGGTAAGATCAAATGGCAGCACAAGAAACTCAAAAGAGCCATACCTCGTCACACAAGCCGTCTTTTGCTCGTTTCCCTCTGCTATCCGCACTTGATAGTAGCCAAGCGAAGATCAAGCTTGGTGAACCATCTCGCATCTCTAAGCTGGTCAAACCAGTGTCCAATGTTGGGAATCAGCCACTTGTTCTTCACTGACAACTTGTTGATGGCTCTATAGTCGATGCACATGCGCAACGACCCTTCTTTCTTTTTCTGGAGCAACGCTAGTGCTCCAAAAGGTGACTTCGATGGCCGCATGTAGCCTGCATCCAACAATTCTTTGAGCTTCCTCCGCAACGCTTCCAACTCTCATGGGCAATGCAGTATGGTGCTTGTGAAGGGGGCTTGGCAACTCTTCCAACTCTCATGACTCCAACTCAATCTTCTGGTCCACCTCTCTCCTTGTTGGCATCTTTTTGGTCAATTACTTTCCCATCACATCATCGAATTCCTCAAGCACACCTTCGATGATGGGAGTTGCGGTTCCCATCGAGCCTCGTTCTTCCTCCATGACATAAGAAATGTTGGCTCCTTCTTTTTGAACAATTTCAAAACTTGCATAGCCGACAAAGCACTATGGTGTCCATCCTCTCTCAATAGCTGGACTGCATAGAACTTCCCTCCCCTCTCCAGGCACATCGTGTTAGAGTTAGGCTTCAAGAGCACTCCCTCCTTGTAGAGGAAATTGATGCCGAGGATGACTGAGTGATCTTCCATGGTGATGACGGAGAAGCCGATGACGCCTTCCCACTCACCTAACTTCACCGGTACGTTGTGAGCAATTTTATGGATTGGGATTGACTCCGAGTTGATCCTCTTGAGCCACCCTTGCCACTTCTCATAGGAAATACCCAGTCGGTTTGCCTCCTTGATGCGAAGGAAGTTGTCTATGGCGTCGGTATCGACCATGGCCTTTGACTCGCCTTTCATGAATTGGGGCAGAACATAGCACCTCCCACACTTGGTCTCCTTGGCATCTGTCTTCACCGCGCCAAGCTTGCAGATTTGGTCGATCTTGGCCTCCGCTCCCTTGGGCTCTTCAAGCCTCAATGGCCTCCAATCTTATCCTCCTTGGTAAATCACGCAATTTATGTGGTACATCGCAAAGGAAACAAGTAACAGGTTTTTGTATATACTTACCCCCTTTGCTTGGGCCACCGTGTTGTTGAGTGCGAGTGCCCTCCTTAAAGGATGACGTTGTTATCCATCCTTCGGCTTTGAACTCTTCTCCTTGCTGCTCTCGTGCCTTTTGTACTAAAAAAAGACTCTTTCGTGGCCATAGTCGTCGCAAGGTCTTGCCCTCCCCGCCTTTGCATCTCCATCTTAGCCCACGGTTGCAGCCCATCAAAGAAGCCGTGCATGGCCTCCTTATCTGTAATGTCTGGGATCTTAAGAAGCAACTCCAAGAATTCTTTCACGTATTCTCGTACTCCATCCCTCTAGGTGATCCTCCTCAACCTCGAACGGACTTCGAAATCCACGTTCTCCGGATAGAACTACTTCTTAATTTCTCTCTTGAAATCTTCCCATGTTGCCATCACCCAAGTACACTTCTCAACATCTGTTTCATGTCGTCTCCACCAAACCGGATGCCCTGAAATACTGCTCAAGGTTCCAAAGGAAGTTCCCTAACTCCCTCGCATTCCTTGAAACTTTCAAGTTCTTAGGCCTTGGAATGTCAGCTATCGGGATGCATTGCACCGCGGCTGGTCTTCTAGCCATGGCTCTCTTCGCGAAAGTGACCTCACTCTTGAGGTCTACAATCTCCTCCTTCATGATGGTCAGCTCAGCCTGAACCGTCTCCTTCATCACTTCGATGGCGTTGTTCATGGTGTTGGAGGTTGTGTTGTTAATGAGAGCCACAAGCTCTTCTCCCAGCCCATCGTTGCCGATCTCCAAGCTCGTCGGTGAGCAGTCACTCCTTGAACATTGCCTTGAACTTGGTTGAGGTGAACTCCAAATCCTCGATTGCGCTGACATCGTCGGCAACCTTCACCTCCACTCTAGAGACACGCTTCTCTAGAACTACCACGGGATCATGAGTGCTCGACGTGCCCTTTATCCTAGATCTCTTGTTCATGTTGTTTCTCAGCATCAGTAACGCTGCCTTCCGATCCCGATATTTTTTGTGAGGCTCTTCCTCTTCGTTTGGCTTTGCTTCTTCTTTTCTAGCACCAATTCAAACCAAGCTCTTATACCACTTATCACGGTCTTACTCTCTGTCATGCGGCCCTAGCTCTCAATTCCATTAGCGATGCTAGGCAGGCTTCTCTCAAATCACTTGCAAGCAAAGAAAAACAAAGGAAGATAGGAGAACTCTCTAGTGTATATTACTCTAAAAAATGTGGAATGAGTACAAATGAGGGAGATGAATCCTTATATAGGTCACTCCACATACAAGCATTAAAGCCCCTTCATAATGGTCCCGCACAATTACTACAACTACACCTATTAAGTCTCCCCATAATGCACTATCTTAATATCACCCATAATGTGGCTAATAAGTGCACACTAAAGCTCATAAGGGTTGGAGAATCCTAGAGGCATCTCTATGCTTCTAATATTCAATACACGCCACATATGCAGTCGCCATGTTGTTACCTTGTTGGCGCCATGTCATCTGCCACGTGTGATAGTACTCTGTGAGGTTCGATCCATATTACAGTTTCTTGTGGAAGAACCTAGAGACACATTGTGCACATCTGAACGACTGAACTGGTACTCTAGTCCGATACAAAGGAGACTATAAGAGGTAATTAAGGTGTACATGGAGTGATCCAGGCGAAGAAATAACAACCCTTTTTTATAACTTATGAAATGGTATTTTGGTGAATGAATGTTTGTGTTGCAGTACTTTTGTATAACTTATGATCAGGTTGAGATTATTTAAAAAGAAAAAAAATCCTCTAACCACTGAAAGTAAAACAGTTATCACACATTTAAGCTCCATATTTTCTCTCATTAACATTACATAATAATGATATCAACTAGAGTTGAAAAAATAGATCACACCGTTAAGAAAAATCATGGACCACACCATACCACACAGTTTGAACCAGACCGTGACTGTCATTAATAGTTTGTTCTGGTTCATGGTATGTATTGTGGGATGTTTGGACCTTCGAGCCTGACCTAGTCCAGACCACAGTTTGTCTAATCAGACCATGGACCCAACTTCCAATTAGATTTAGCCACCCACTCAACCACTCTCCCAAGTTCCCTAATGACACCCAAGTCTCAACTTTGATTTTAAAAATCTCATCTCTTCTTCGCTCATAAATCACATTTCGCCCAATAGTGGAGACGATAGCATCTCTATACGAAATTCTGTTAATGTTTTATGACATTACAGTGGAAGTAAGGTTGCTCGGACTTTTTTTCTTTGACACTCTTATAGATTTAGGGCATCAAAATTATACATGTGTGTTTGAAGTTATATTTTAAAATAAAAACATTTTTTCTTGGTAATTAGTTCGATATTTTGTGTGTTGGATAAAACCAATTGTTCATTTTTTGTTCAACATAATCATACCGTACTGAACCGCATAGGAATGACATAGTCTAAATCGTATAATACTTTATCTAATCTATGATCTGTACTTCAGTCTGTCGATCCTGACCGTAAATCGTATATATGATCTGAAGCAAACCACGTCATTTTTCCACCCTAGTATCAACTATGTTTAGACAACATGTACATGAGTTGAGGTTTGGGTTATAGTAATTTCATTCTCGAACCACATACTATGGTTTTAATAACATAAAATTCACATAAAAAAAAAAAGCTGAAACCATATTAGTTTGGTTAGATTGCGCCGTCTGATATATTTGGATAAAAAAAATGATAAAATCACATAAAAATACGCAAAAAAAGGGATAATGCAATAAAAAAAATATAGCATCATAGGATTAGCTTTAATTTTTTTTTTTTAAACATCAGACTTACGCATTGGTGTAGCTAAGGATGGACAATCCACTCTCAAGAGTTGAATGTCTTGGTTAACAAATCAAATTTGACGGTGAGAATCAAGGTCACCAAAGGTAAGATATTCTAACGGTAAAGTTGTCACGATAATGAAGGATTGGGAGGTGCATATCTCAGGTTCGAATCCAAGCGAGGCCTGTTAGTGTTCCGGATGTACAAGGCTAATGGGGGCAAAGCCCCGTTGGCGTCGAATTTAATTGCAGGTGGCCCCCAGGTTTAGTAGGATCCGCTGACACAAAGTGGCACGTGGGGTTGAGGTTCCTAGGTAGTAAAAAAAAGACAGAGGATAAGGTCTTCATAAAAATAAGGTTAATCAACACAAAAATTATAGGATAAATTAGTTAACTAAACAATATTATGGAGGGGAAAAACAAAACAATAGAGATAATTGATAAAAACTAGGGGTGGCTATACGGTTCGGTCCCGTTAAATTGGACCAAATTGATCATGTCCCAGTTCGGTCTTTTCGGGAATATAAGGACCAAAGATTGGATTGGATACAGTCTGGTCTTGATCCGGTCCGGTTCCAATTTGATCTTGATTTTAGGTGTTGGGGGTCTCTTATCCGGTTTTTTACCTCAAATCTAAGCCCGAATATGAGATTGGATTGTTTGTTATCTGATCCCAGTCCGATTCCGATCCGGGTTATAAAATCCGATTTCGAGTAAAACCAAACAGTCCGGACCAAATAAGCAGCCCTAATAAAAACAACTTCCCAGGCTATGATCCGGGTAGAAAACTAGTGAAAGGATAATATATATACGTAGACGGAGTCAAATAGTGATCTTCATAAGACCAGCCCACCCTGCCGTAGGGTACATGACAGCATTGACTTTTGACTTTTTGGCTGCGGCAAATTAATTAATTACTGTTTGGTGGTTAAATAGCTAACTTTTCGGCACCCTCGTAATCTAGTCCTCTAGCTATAGCCCTTGGAAGCATCCTCGAAGAAATGGACTCCCTCCCTTTATTCTCAATTTCTGCTACCTTAGACGAAATTGTAACATATGTATTATGCATACAAATTAGAAGGTAGGCCAATGAAACCTAATTTTGTTGACAATATTGGACTAATGTGGACTTAAACAAATCAATATTTGGACTACTTCATAATAATATAGACCCGGTTGAAGCTAGCTTACTTTGAATATCAATGATACATGTATACTAGGACGAAAATTGAAGATACTAGGAGATATATACGTTGCATGTGTACAAGAACAAGTAGCATTATATGGATCCTACCTACCCCAACCTCTTAAAATGTTTGGTCCAAAACCAACAAAGGAAAAATTCCTTCGGCTAGCTTAGCAACTGCATGCCCTTCCGCAATAGTATCTCTATATATTTCGTTGCTCCCTTGCTCCTAATTCTTCACACCACCCGCCATCAAACCTCTATCCTACTACTTTACAAGCAAAACCACAACTTACCTAGCACGCAACCTCGAAGACAAATGAAGGCGGCATTATCAACAAACGCAATGCTACTACTCTTGGTTCTAGTAGTACTCTCCCCCATCACTCCCCCATCCGCCTTGGCGGCCCGATCACTGGCCGAAACCCTGCCCACACCGTGGCAGACCTCGACCAGATCGCTCGCAGAGACCCTAGCCACCTCGTTGCAGACCCCACTCCCCGTCCTGGACGTGGACGGGAAAGTGGTCCGTTCGGGAAGCAACTACTACATCCTGCCCGCGGTCAGCGGTGAGGGCGGCGGTCTGGCTCTGGCCAGCCAGACCAGCGACCCGGAGGACTGCCCGCTGACCGTGGTCCAGGACGAGGACGAGATCTCGCAGGGGCTTCCGCTCACTTTCGGGCCCGTCAACACCAAGACGGGCTACACGGTCCGCACTTTCACGGACCTGAACGTCCGGTTCGTGGCGGACACTCAGTGCGACGAGGGCACGGTGTGGAAGGTGAGCGACTACGACGACGACCTGGAGCAGTGGTTCGTCGGGACAGGAGGGGTCGAAGGGAACCCCGGCCCGAGGACGGTTCAGAACTGGTTCAAGATCTGGAAGTACGGCTCCAACTACAAGCTCGTGTACTGTCCCGCGGTGTGCAAGTCGTGCAAGGTGGATTGCAAGGATGTCGGGATCTATGTGGATGAGAATGGCGGGAGGAGGTTGGCTCTTGTTGAAAAAGATGGAGATCCTTTTGTGATCAAGTTTGTCAAGGCTGATTGAAGAGAAACTTCGATTATATATGTTCCTAACTGAATGAGCTAGTATAGCTCGTTGATTTTGTGAACATTTCCTTATAGTATTGCGAGTTAGTTATATATGTATTGAATTTATATGTGGTTTGGAAGATTGGAATAAGAGCTCTAGCTATCCATGCTCAATTTGGAGGCCAGGGCCATGCATGCATGGCTAGTACTTCCATTGATTTCTTTTGTCATAGAAAGTTAAATCAAAATTAAATAATGACAATTTGTTATCAGTTTCGTCTTGATTTTGAAGATTATATCATGAAGGATCTTTCATGGATATGGTTTTCTTGGATTGATTACAGCGACAAGTATATATATTATGATGAATTCATATTTAAAGTGAATTATATATCATATTCATCTGATTATTTGCTTTTCAAACTTGTATTTATTTTACCATTTGTATAACTGAAAGTGTTGAAAGATATTTTCAACGGTAGACTATATCAAGAACAAGTTTGAAATCGAATAAGCAACCAGTTTTCCAATAATAGTCTAACACGATATATAGAAAAAGATTTGTCGAACATTGTAACATCTTAGCGTATTTTACTATTTTTTTAAATAAAAAACATGTGTTGTACTAATCAAATATATTAATATATTATAATTTAATTTCATAAGGGAACACCCCTTAAGTAAAATTTTGGGTACAGTACCGCTCTTCATCATCATCATTTTCACTTTGACAAAAGCAGCGGACAAGACGTCACGATCACATTGCGGTGCCTAGTCAGCATTGAATTGCGACTCAAATTATCACAATCTCTTTTTCTACCTTTTGATATGCTACTAAGTTGTAGAGAAATCAATATCGTCCTCCTTTTTCCTTCTTCGTCCCCCGAGTGTTCCAGACGCTAGGCTAGAGTTAGATATGACCATCTTTAGAGTAGCTTCTTCATTCTTTTTTGCACTTCTTCGTTCTATTTGCTTCATTATTTTTAGGCTTCTTCTTCCTTTCTCATTTCACCACACTAGGTTTTATACTTTACCATGTATTGTTGATGAATGTTTAGAAATGAGAGGTAGATGCAATGATATTAGTTCATAAACTTGTGATTCTAGACAAGTGTGAGATATCTTGCTACATTTACATCTAACGAGGTGCTAGGCAGAGTCTCAACGCTCGCCTTATGCCTAGTGCTTCCTTGAACCTTGCTTACTGGTATAACTTCACTTGACATCCCTAATTGGGGTTTACACTCTCTTTGGAGCACTTAATCATATGAAAATTTTCCTATTGGAAAATTAGGGAGAAATTAAAGATAGGTCATTGGAATAATAAAAGTTTTGTTTTCCATTAGATAGAAATTGAAGATAGGTCATTGAAGTAATAAAAATTTTGTTAGAAGATTTGCTAAAATATATATGAACAGAGCTCCCAGCGAGGATCGAACTCGCAACCTTTCGCTTACGAAGCGAACGCACTACCACTATGCTATGGAAGCAAGCATTGTTTTTCTTTGGAAACCTATATTTAGTAATTTCATATATTTTACTATTTGTTTCCTTGTCATGTAACATATAATAGCACATCCCTGACAGATGGAGGCCTTTCCCTAATTGTAGGGAGGTTAATGTCGTTTTGGGGCTATCTAGCGGACATCCTGGCTTGCCTCCACAAATCTACCCATTGGACGTCTAGACCGCCTATTATGACCCAGCAGGCCGAGGTTTAACTTGGATGTTGCATCCACGAGTAAGCGTTCATCGTAAAAAAAAAATATGTATAATAAGAAAAACTTACTTCACTTAATTAATTACAATAATGGAACTCCTAATTCTCAATGATCGCTACCAAAATTCCTAATTAATCATATATTATTAGTAAATACCCTCCTAACTAACTCCAAATCAGCTAATTAAGGTCGTGAGTACTAATCACTATTTAATGAAGTGCTTCTCTGTGCACTTACATAGGGGTGGTAAAATAATTACTAGTTACCGATTATATCGTTAATCGGTTACAGCAGTTTCGAACGATAATCAAAGGCATATTGCATGTTCTGGATTACCGGTAACCGATGGTTGTAACTGTAGTGTTAACCAGATACCAACAACTAAACGATAATACCACCACCTACCCCATTTTCAACCCTCCCCTCCCCTCCCCTACTTCTCTTCATTCTTCTTCCTTGAATCTCACCCACTCCGCCAGCCCCATTTTCAACCCTCCCCTCCCCTGCTTCTCTTGATTCTTCTTCTGCCTCGACTCTCAACGTTACACCATTCTTCCCACCCTTCCCTCCCCTCTGCCGCCAACCAATTCCTCTACTTTCAACTCCGTCCTTGCAAATTTTCCAACCACATAACCCTTCTTCTCTCACATCCCCTATGTTCTGCCACAAATATGAAGCGGTGGATATGGATTCAGATCGAAATGCAGAGCTACCTCCTCCACGGTAATCATCAATTCAGAAAAGATCTATGCGGTTGAATGGCTTGTGCCTAGAAAGACGGAAGGGAGAAGGGTGAATGCGAGAAGAAGCCTGCATTTGCTCCGGCGGCTGCAACAGGTGAGGGAGAGAAGAAGGATGACGACCGGGAAGTTTGTCTTCGTCTACAAGATGACATGCATCTCCTTTATCCACTCATCTTGTGCTCGACAACGTCATCGCTACATCTACCTTCAATAAACACCGCATCCATTTTCAGAGGCATCTCCCAACATCATCTTTAATGGTCATCTCACTCGCTGTCGACATCAACTTCCTGAGAACCATCAACGTAGCATCCCAATCGCTGACATCAACCATTGAATCGAATGCAATCTAGCCACCATCGAGATATTATTGGTCATTTTCACTGTCGCCGCCAACATCAAGGTCCGGGTGACAGCCTTCATTGTCTTCAGTCGTAACAAGCAGTCATACTCCCAATCTCTGTCACTGCTCTGTTTTTCGTGGAAGAAGGAAAGTACATTGCGACATTGGGACAGAGATACAAGAAAGGGAAAGGTTGAATGAAGAAGTGAGGTTCGCTTTAGGTGGAGACGTGGAGTTTTGAGAGAAGGAGATAAAGAGGAATCGTGAGAAAAGATGAATCGTTTGATGGCAAGATGGGGGTTCTATTTGGGAAGAAGCGGCGAAGAAGACTGATGGTGAGAGTTTATAATGGTTAGCCGGCTAACCAGTTGCTAACCGATAACTGGTTAAATGGTTTCCTTCTAGTACCGATATTCGGCAGTGGTTTCGAGGAAAACGGTTAGTCGGTAACTAGTTAAACCGGTAACCGACGATTATCACATCAACACTTTCATTATCTGAATTGGGGGAACAACATATTTATTCGTAGCTATTTATGAAACTATTAAAATTGTATGTATATGGTTCCCTACAGTTAATCTTCCATAATAGTCGAGCTGTTAAACTTTCCAAAGGATCGAAGTTAGCTTCTCCTCAAGTTCGACGACTAAAATGAACCGCATTCTTCCGAGTTTACAGTTCCATCACTACACAAGAACCCAGTAGAACCATCCACGTAGCACTGCATTATCTAAATCAAACAACTGTTTTTGAATAAATTGAGGCAGCTTTGTTTTCCTATCATCGTCACCAAAGATGACGTTGTACTGCAACCATTGCTTCTTCGTCCTTTTTCTACTACTATAGCGAAGATTATGGAATTCTTAAACCTTTTTTACTGCATGCATGATGCAGCCTTTGTACAGTGTGCAAGAAGGTGTTGGGTACATTTGGCGAAGTCGAGATGGACGATAAAAATCAGTCTTCTTCTTCATCGCCATTGATTCGAGTCCAATTGTACACATTTTACCCCTCATTTTTTTATAGTTTGGCTTTGAATTTCATCGTCCCTCGACATATTTCGTGCTAGGTTGTGCTTGTTTTGATACATTTCAGGTCCTAACACGTGTGGAAGGGTCGAGGACAAGTTTCGGGATGATTGGAGGTCGAAAAGGGCAGAAACCGAAGAAAAGTCCAAAGTTGAAGTTTAGGAAGCAGTTGCAGTTCACAGCGGAAGCATTCAGTTCACGGTCACACAAACCGTGAATTGGAGCCACAAACCGCAAACTGGCGAGGTTCCCGAGAGTTTTCAGAGGTTACTGATGTCGAGTTAGTTCACGGTCACAAGACCATGAACTGAAGCCATGAACCATGAACTGGCTTAATGAAACGACGCGTCTTGGCCTTAGTTCACGGTCCACGCCATTAGTTCATGGCCGTGAACTGGGCGCGACTGGGTATAAATAGAGAGCTGAAAGGAGGAAAAAAGTGAGCTTTTCCTAGGGTTTAGTTTTCATAATAAAGGAGGGTTTCTAGTGAGAGATTATGTTTTCCTCTTCCCATTCTAGAGAGAGAAAGTGCAATTCAAAGGAGGAAGAAGGGGATTGGGCTTGTCCTAAGCTAGAGGAGTGAAGATTCTTACCTCTCAAGGGAGATTCAAGCAAAGAGGAAGGGATATTGGCATCTCTTCATGGTTCTTTCTCTCCTTTTTCTTGTTTTCCTTTGCCTAGCTATGGAATAGCGCCTCCCTACTCACTTGCGTATTGTGAACCCTAGTCTATATGTGTGTTAGGATGTAAGAACATGACTCCATGTGTGTTGATTGAATTTTTATATAATATTTGATGTATTTTTCATGAATGAATGAATGTGCTAGCTCTAACTCATGATTGGGTTATTTTGACCTAGCTGGAGAGAATCTCCTTGTTAAAAGACGCATTGAGAAGTTGGGCACTTGAGCAACTAGCGAACTAAGGCAGACTGGGACAGTGGCTGAGTACAGTGTCGAGTTTGTGAAGTTGAAAAATATGTGTGAGGACATACTAGAGAAGACTTCAGTGAACTTGTGTATGGTATGTCTAAGTTCGACGATGAAGGTGTTTTAGCCTAACTTTCTGCGAGTTTCTCTTTGACTTGCAGGTAGGAAGGAAGAAGATCTTGCCAATTGGAAAAGCTATACAAGTCATTGCCATAAGGAGGCTAAGTGGATCAAGTTGAGGAGCAACATCTAGTGGAAGAGACGTGGATGTAGCTCCAATGGTGCTAGAGGCCGCGACACCTGCTGCAACAGCCGGCTTTGTGATGGCTCGACCTAGGCATTGCTTGCCGCCGAGAGGCTTTGTTTGACTGACCTTGGATAAGATGGACCAGAAGCATCATGATGTATGTTGATTTAAATAAAAATGAGATGTAACTGTGGGCCACCAGCCCACCACTGTGCCAATGTCCATCTGATGCAAAAACACAAGTGGTAGAGGAAGGTAAGGTGAACCACAAGAGCCAGCTTGACCTTGAGGGCAAGATTGCTCTTAAGGGGAAGGGAATGATAGAAACTACATCTCCATCATTTTCTTATATTTGGATAACTGTTTTTATTTTATGTCATTTTGAAAATTATATGGGTATTTTGAGTTCTTTTAGGGGTTTTGGAAGTTATTTGACATTTCTAAATTGGGATTAATTAGGGGTAGTTGCTAGGAACTATGAGGGTTATATATTCTGTAAATCTGAACATTATTAGCAAGCTTAATTAGAACTACAAAATTCCCAAAATCTATTCCCTCTATCCTCTCTCCTAATTCAGCCAAACCGCCTCTACCTTAATGTCTCTCTACAACTCACCACGATTCTTCCCCTCTCTTCCGTATATTCCCAAACCTCCCATAACTCTCCAATATCTATCAATTTTTTTATGAGTTATCTCTATCAATTTCCAATTCTATGATTCGAGTACCGAAACCCTAGATCCAGTTTTCCGTGAATCAATTGGTTCGAATGAGTGTGGGGTCATCTCTAGTTTCTCTAGTTTGGTAAAGTTCTTATATTGGAGTTTTGTGTGCGACACTCTTCCAACGTGTGAAGGTGAACCAACAAAATCCAAGACTAAGCCCAACTGCCTTTTATGCAATTTACCGAAGAAGGTTATCCATTTCTTTTGAGAATGTCAATGGACGGGCCACATCTTGCATCCATCGCTGGTGTATTATCTATTTTCGTGTAGACATAACAACAATATTGAGGACTGGAGAGTGGGTGGAGCAAGACCACTCAGTAGTAGATGATCCGCTCCTGGAGGAATGGGTGGTGCAACTCTAATTTTGTGAAAGGAACATAACGCGCAACTCTTCAAAAACTAGGATACGACGGAGAATATGATTGTGCATTCTACAACAATGCCTACTTTAGCAATTACAATCTCGCTAGCTAGTAACGGAAGATCCTTTAGCGCACACTTCTCCCACTACTTGGCTACAATCTCCAGCAAGGAGGGTAAAAATCATTTCGGATGCAGGGATGTTTCCCAATGGTGGTACAGGTTTGGGAGTTGCCTTGAGAGACACAAAATGAAGATTTTTACTAGCAGCAGTGCATCTACTTCGGAAGGCCTGTAATCCATAGTTGGCTAATGTTTAGCAGCATAAATGGGAGTGCATCTCATGATTGACTACGGTTTATAGAAATCGATCTCCGAAACAGACTGTCTAAAATTTTTGTAATTGACTATCGAGCCTAGCGGAATATCTTACAAAGATGGTAATAATTTGTTTTAGCATTAGAAATTAATTGGAGCTGATAGGAACAACCTATCGGGTTTGATATTTGGGGATTAGGGTTTATACGAACAGAATTAGGGATTGAGATTGGGATTTGGGAAAGAAAGATAGCGAATCGGTCTAGGCCTTGCAAGGATTGAGAACGAGAATTGAGGGGATAGGTAGATTAGGGTTTGGGAGACTTTTCTTAATATTCTTCTTTATATAGGAAGAGATAGGAAAACCCTAATAATAAATCTAATTCTACTAAAAGGATACTAATACTAATACTAATAATAATAATATTAGGAAATTGGTTTCCATCATCCCCTCCCCCTTGAGACCAAACTTGCCCTCAAGGTTGACCAACTCATCCAACATCTTCACTTTTCCCGCACGATCTACATGTCGACTGCGTCGTTCCTCACACTTCCTTTGCTTCCAATTGTGCTCCACTACTTGAACGAATCTCACAACAACAACACCGGCTTCCGTTTTTTATTCTCTACCCACATGGCTCGTGGCACAACTATGGCCAAATGACTCTCCTACCTCCTTTTTCAAACTCCACAAAGTAAGAATCAGAGAGTTGTTCTTCTTTAAGCCCATCATCTAAGCCCATGAATCCATCTTTCTTCATATTTTGCTCCAGTAAAATCAATCCAATAAAACCGTACAAAGGATGCACAATTATCCTATGAAAACTCAGCCCACCTTCTTTTCTCAAGAGGCATGGGATGAACTGGGCTTCTGATTCTGTTGCCAGCCCACACGGTTGGTCCAACAGAGTCGGCCCACTGAGAACCCAAACCCTTTCTTATTACTTCCTAGCCCATGACCCAAACAATCCACTCCTCTTGGCCCATTATGGTCTGATCCGCTCAAAACGAGCACGCATCCTTCCTGCCCTAGCTTCGGCCCTCCCGAACTTGCGGGCCAAACAGCAACATGGCCCAATACAAAGAGTTGATGTTGTTGTTCTCGTCGGCCCAACCAAATTGGCGTAGCTCCAGGAGTTGACCCAAGCGAGACCCTAGTTGGCCTGTTAGCATTTCCAATCCAAACAGCTCGGCGCATTAGTTGGAACTGCTCTCGTCGATCTCTGCAACCCAAACCTCTTAATCCCAAAACACGCTCGCACAGAACACACTCGGGCCGACGATCCAGCCCATGGAATATGGGTGGTAGGGTTTTCGAGCAAGGGGCGGAGAGGCAACTGCTCGCACGAGAGCATAGTTCCGCCGCCGACCTCCCTCATTTGCTCCTTCTCAAGCAGCGCGTGATCCCGCCGATGGCTAGGTGGCCAGTCCGAATCCACCCCATTCTCCGGCGAGGTCTTCGGCGGCATATCCTCTCCAACAGATGCCGCCGCCAACATATCCTTTAGCCGCGCGCCCGCCTCTGTCATCTTCTTCATCGGTGGTAGCCTCTTTGCCTCATTCTCCGACGACTGAATCTTCAACTAAAATTGGGGCTCACCATCACCTCGCGTCCCCAGATCTCCATTCCTTCTCAGGGGAAGCCGTCGTATGTTACGGCGTTCTTGGCGCGATTTGCGTCGCAGGCGAATGACTCTATTGGAAGAGCTCCGCCGCGATTCTCCTTTCCGGTAGACGCTCTAACTTGCCACGCAGGAAAATCAACATCGCCTCCACCTTCATCCCCTCCGGCGAAGGTGGATCCTTTATGTACTTCCAGTTATTAGTTCGAGGGCCCAATGGAGCTGAGATCTTGTCGACAGCAGCCAGATCTCCTCCCTTGCTGCTAACTGCATCAAACATCTTGGTCGGAGGAGTTTTTGTAGTGACCTTATCGGAAGATGGAGGCGATGCAGTGATGATGTCCATGAATTGCATTGGCACACTCACTGGCGTAGGCTCACTTGGCGCAGTTGGAACAACGCTCGAGATCTCAAGCTGCAACGGTATACTCGTCGTCCGGTCCTGCTGCAGTAGCAGCTTGGTTGCTACCTTCTTTTCGTCCACCGTCGCCTTTGCCTCCGCGCTGGAACTTGTTTCGACCGGAATCTCCTCCTCGTCCTCTGCCACCGCCGCGGAAACGGTGTTATTCGACCCTGCCTTGGTTCCCGTACCCGTCCTTGGCACGAAGTTTAGTGTGAGTGACAGTTCTGGCCCCATTTTTTAAATAAGACATTTACGGCCTACTTTTGCAATTATTGGACAGATTTTGCCCGAAACTTGTGTTGACCGTTAATATTAACGGCCAAACACTTATTCCCTTAGTGACTTAGAAAAAAACGGTTGTTGTGGCTTATGTATGGTGCCACGTCATTAAATAATAATATTTTTAATTTTTTAAATTCAATTAATAATAATAATAAATTAAAAAATAATATATTAAAGAATGGATCTTATCGCAACTCCACTTCCTCCTCTTTGTTTTGGCCCACGCATCTCCAATTTCCATTTCCAGTCCCTCCCTACCAGCACCCGGACGCTAAAATGTGCTCCTCCAAGAACAAAATTGGAGCTCCTGACGATCGATCCTATCCTGCCATCCCGACGGTCGTTCCAATCCACAAAGTCACCGTTCATGACCGGCAACACTGGCATCGTCCACGAATTTACTGTCCCAGAGGTACGATTGTTGTGTTTTCACCCTTCATCTTGCAATTGGGATCGGAGTTGTACAACATCCTTTTGCTTTTGCCCTTTGCTTTATGAGATTTGTTGGGTTGAACTTTTTTTTGCAGGATCTGGCGGTGACGCACGATTCCCCCGACGAGCTTCCTTCTCGATATCACTCTCTATAATGAATCGACGCGGTCTTCGAACATGCCCGTGACAGCGACTGCATCTGATCCGCCATGGCCACTACTGATTCTTGCTCTGGTTGCTTCGCAGATGGAGAGGAAGAAGGGTGGTTCAGAGTCTCTCTGTACTCAGTCTGGCTGGTGGTCCAGAGCCCTGATTCTGCAGTGCCGACAGCGGATGCTTTAGACTTCAGAGTCTCTTCATTTTCGGCGACGGGGTGGTTCAGCCTTCAGTTGCTTACGCCGGAGGAGAGGAAAAAGGGGATGAACCAGTGGGAAGGAGGCGGCGGGAGGAAGAGATTAGGATCGGCAGTTTGGGGTTTGGGGAATTGGGGATTTTGGAATTTTTATTATTTTTAGAATTCGTAGAACTACATGATTCGTCAGAAAAAAGAATGATAACTAGTTTGTTCTATATAACGGGATTATTAGTTATTATTATTAACTGAATTACAAAATTAAAAAATATTATTATTCAGTGACGTGGCACCATATATAAGCCACGTCAACCATTTTTTACTTAATCGCTAACGGAATAAATGTTTGACCGTTAATATTAACGGTCAACACAAGTTTCGGGTCAAATCTGTCTAATAATTTCAAAAGTAGGTCGTAAATGTCTTATTTGAAAAATGGGCCCAGAACTGTCACTCACGCTAAACTTCGTGCCAAATTTAGGGAACTAGTTCGTGGAGCGGGAGCGAAAGCGGGAGCGAGAGCGTAAAAGCGTCTATCGTATAAGAATTCAAAACTAAAAGCGTGAAGGGAGCGTCATTATTATATTATTTTTGAATATTTATAATGCATTATTTATAAATAATTTAGAGTGTAATTAGTATTAAAATAGTAGATACTAAGATTAATTTGTTAGCTTTAGTTCACCAATAACATGACGATAAACTTTAGGAATAGAATAAATAAATACTTTACCAAAAAAATTAAATAAATAATGGTAAAGCACAATCGTGTCAATTAATTCACCACTACGTTCCATTCTCTCCCAAATATAATTTCTATCCCTGTATAATTGTGTCAATTAAAGCACAATAGAATTTTTCGGTCGGGCGTCGCACCGGCCGCAAATTTTTTTCGGTTTGGTGGCGTTCGGGCCGCAATTTTTTTTCGGCCCGCCGTGTTTTTCGTCGGAAAACTTGCCGGAAAAAGTAAACTTACTTGTTTTCCGACGATTGAGGGCGACAGAGGCACTGGGCTCGTCAACAGAAGTTTTTTTTGGAACGAGTCAAATGTCAAATGTTAATGGATGTGTGTACGCAGTTTATGTCGAGGATAGGCTTTTCCGATGATTTTCCGGCGACTTTTTCGGCGAGCGTCGAATTTTTTTGATTCAATACGTTCTCTGAAAGTTGGATATGTTGTAGATTGTGAAACTCTTTAACCAAAGATGTACATATATACTTTTTTTTTTTTTGTTGGCGACAAATAGCAATTTGATTGACGGCAAATAGCAAGCCCATAAATTTCAATACCAAATATTCCCTTTATTTGCATGTTGCAATTTAGGGTTGATATTCGGTTTTCAGGTTTTCGATTAAATCGATGACCAAACTAGACCTTTCGGTTATTGGTCTAAGCAAAAATAAATTAGTCATCCTACGATCGATCATCTACAAGAACTTAATGCTAATCGATTAGATGGATGTTTATCGGTAAGTACCCGTAAGTTAATCAGTAAGCTAAGGGAACTGGAAGATACTAATTCCCAGCCAAAATGTAGGAACCCTCATCCTCCTGCTCCTCTCCTCCAGACCCCTCAAGCAGCTTCACCTTCACCCCGCTACATTATTATTCCGAACCCTAGAGTGGTTGTCAACAGCAGAGACAGAACTCAACAGTAGCCCCAACCTCTTTGTGGCCAAACTTGCAGTCGCTCCCTCCTAGGTAACACATCTTCCGCTCGACCCCAGATTCCTTTGGTTGCTGCTACTGCTGCAGTAGACGCTGCCACAGTAGAAGCCGCAGGACCAAGCTGCCAACAGGCAGTAGAACAAGCAGCAACTCTAGATTCTATCCTATGTTAATTGAGAAATGCGAAAATGCATTCGTAAAACTTGAGAATCTTAACTTATATTGTGGTTGTTTTATAGCAAATTTATGTCACATGGGATTTAGTATGATCAAGAAATTTTCATGTTATTTTAACAATTTATGAAGTTTTTGTTGATCCTGAAATTTTCATGTGATCATATAATCATCATCACTAATATTTGAACTTGCAACCAATGAGTTAAAATCAATAGAATGGCTTACACATCTAACCAATAGGCTAAGTTGTATTTGATGATACTAAGCACAATAAGATTAGTAATCATGTTATGAAATGAATTTAAAATCTAGCATCTTATCATGATCTTTTTACATTATTAGTTAACCTCATGCTCCAATTGACTTTAGTTTCTACATAAATTATAATAATACAATTTTATGAATAAGTAGCTCTAAAACATCCATAATATAAGTTAAGCAGTATCACCATAATAGAACGCATTTCTAATGTGTAAGAATATTGTATAGTTTTGTGAAATTTATCACCATAATTGACCGTATATAATTAACCTATTGTCTAAATGAATCAAATTCAACATCCATCACTTATTTATGTTTTTCTTTTTTATTTTTTGGCACTAACACTTTCTTTCCCGGCCTCCCTACATACTTATTAAAAACTATGTATTTACCTTTTTATTAATGCGATTTTGTTTACTTAATTTTTTTATTTAGAAAATGAGAGTGAATGTCATTTTGTGTAGTATTATTAATTCAATACGCAAACAAATATGAAACTCAAGTTGAAAGGAATGAGATATAGACAAAAGATAATGAGAAGGGTTTACGCATTATGTATATACTTAAGGTTATGCAGCTCGCAACAATTTCCCCAAAAATAACCTTTTATCTTACATTTTTTAAGAATAATTCAATTACCTTTTTATGGATTTCGACTTCTCTCACCTTACAACGATCCATAAAATATTATTTTCTTCTAGCATTTTTCTTCCAACAAACATCACCCTTTTTTATAGACATCTATATTTTGACTTTATTCAAGTCTCTATGTTTCACAGGTTTCCAGTAAAAAAAAAAAAAGTCTCTGTGTTTCATGAATTCTTTAGAATACCATTACACTCGAATTTTTTATTCTACTTCATTGATGGCCTCAGAATGATTGGCCCCACAATGAACCGTGAGTCCCATGCCGTAGCCAACTTCGCCAAATACTTTAGCTCATCATTATCCCTATGTCCAGGAGTCGTAGTCCATCCTTGTTCACCTTGGTCGATCTCGTGCGTCCTTCTATATCCAGCTCCCTCAATTTCTTGAAAACAGAGAGATTTCTCAACTCTTTTATTGACGTGCAACATACATGAACAACTTTGTCAATGACTCCAAACCCTCGATTCCTTTGAACTCAGCAGTGTGTTATGCAGTGACAGGTTCAATTCCTCCAAAATCTTGCAGCTGGATAAGTTTGGCAGCTCCTTAATGGACCAACAATCACACATCCGTCGCAGCCGCAACAACTCCAATCTGCCATTCTCGGTGAAGGCATTGATCAAGCTTGTGCAATCTGTAAGCAGGGAAAGAGGATGACTTATTTCAAAATACACATAATTGAAAAATGTAGATTTTTTTTGGTATAACAAATCCTTTATCTCTCTTGACTCTGGAGAAAGGAGCAGATTGAGAGCTTCTCAGCTTGATAATTTTTTGTTTTACTACAGCTGAAATGGAAGAAGAGAATAAAAAAAAATAGAAAACATAGAAACAAGTGTTACAAATAGACTCATAGCATCCACCACATCATATTGGAACAAAGTCTCCAGCGGACTCACCCATATATGGCTTTACCAAAATAGAACAGGAGGGAGAGAGGTCCTTCCGCCATCACCACTTGCTGAGAGACCCGGAAAGCAGTCCCTTGCCATATCTCGCAGCCGACTTCGCCAAGTACTTCACTCTCATTCTTTTCCCCATATCCACGTACCGTAAACCATCCAGCTCCTCAAGCCCATTCACCTTGGTCAATTTTGTGCATCCCTCAATATCAAGTAACGCCAATTTCTTGAGATCAGACAGGTTTCCCAACGCCTTTATTGACCTGCAATTACCCCTCTGCAGTATTTTTAATGACTCCAATCCCTCCACCCCCTGGACCTCAGTCAAGGCTGTGCATTTGCTAAGATTCAACAGCTCCAAATTCTTCAAGCCCGATAAGTTTGGCAGCTTCGTAATCGAATTGCAGTCATGTATCTCTATCTCCCGCAAAGACTCCAATCTCTCGATGCCCGTGAGATTAATCAGGCTGTCGCAAAATCTGATGTTTAATGTTTTGAGATTCCCGTGCCCAGACAGATCAGGCAGATTTCGAATGGAGTTGCATTCTTTCATAGTAAACCGTTCTAGAGACATCAATCTCTCAAATCCTGTAAGCTCTGTTAACTCCAGACAGCAGCGCAGTTTCAACTGCTTGAGATTAAAGAGGCCAGAGAGATCCGGAAATGATTCCTTGCCATGGAGACAAAACGATTGTTCCTGAAAAGTAAGATACTCCAATGCTCCCAGAAGTTGAAGTCCATCATAGTTTGCCAAGCTTGGACATCCTCCGATTAACAGACGGGATAAAGACTCCCCAAGGCCACCCAGACCTTGAATTTCTACGAGAACCGGGCACTCGTAAACCACCAATAACTTCAGCTTGATCAAATTCATTACACTCGGCAGTCTCTCTAGCGCAGAGCACGTTCCCACGTACAGGTTCTTGAGGAAAATCAGATTCTCAAGTCCGTGGAGGTTGATCAGATTCGGGGAATAAGATATCACCAGTGTCTCCAGCACCCGAAGCTCTCCCAGGCCCAGCATTTCGACCACCCCGATATGCATGAGTGTGAGTTGGGTAAGATTGCGCAGATTTGCTAGGCTGGGGAGCTCATTCAAAAGGCCTCCAGCCATCGGAGTAAATACCTCGATATAATCGCACAAGAGCCATAAGTCTTCAGGGATACAAGGAATATTACCTCTGAGGTAGCTCAGGGACTCCAACTCCGTGAGCTCTAATAGATTTGGAACTCTAGATGGAGGTGAAATGGTTAACCTCTTTATACTCCTCGGGAGCCTGGGTATCTCTTCCATCAGGAACTCCCAGGATTTTCCTGATTCCATGAGAGAGGGTAAGTTTTCCATCCCAGCAGGCAATTCTCTCAAACAGGTGGACGTCAAGTCCAGCTCCTCTAGTCGTCGAAACTTTCCAATATCATTTCCCCTAATGATTAACTCAGTTATATTGGTCCAACGAATACTCAGCCTTTTCAAATTCTTGAAAGTACCAATGTGGAGTTCTCCTTCCATATGGTGACAAGACCCAAAATTTATGAACTCCAAACTTGTGCATGTGGACAAGTCGGGTGCTTTTCTCAGCCGAGAACACTGGGGTAAATTTACAGCCTTCAGCTTCGCTGCTGCCTACGGATCATAATACAACCATTACAATAAGAAATGATACATAGTCATTTTGTATGCGCCCGTAATTGATCCATAC